GCTGGAGGGGACAGGGCTGGGATGGCACAGTGCCACACTGGCACTGCCACCACCACGGGCCCCAACCCAAGCTCCACCATTGCCCTGGCCTGGGCGGGGTGCGGGCAGGGTGGGCAATGTGTCCTGCCCCTCACACATCCATGTCCTGTCCTGTCTGTGTCCCATTCTGTCTGCATCTCATCCTGCCTGCATGCCATGTCCCTGTGTCTCATGCTGCCCACGTGCCATCCCATCTCCCACCTCCCCTGCACCCCAGCCCCTGTCCTGTCCCTCCCACATCCCTTCCCACCTGTGTCCCATCCTCCTGTATCCCATCACATGTTCCATTCCTCCTGCAATCCCATCCTACCTGTGTCCCATCCCATATCCCATCCACCCTGCATCCTGTCCTATCAAATGTCCCACCTGTGTCCCCTTCTCCCTGTGTCCTGTCCCACTCACCTGTGGGGAGAAGACCCCCATGCTCTTGGTCCTCAGCTGGAATGGGAACCTCTGTGGGAGCTGGAAGGCAGGGAAGGGTCAGGGTAATGGGGTCGAGGCACAGGTGGGCGCGGGGACACCCCAGTGGGGACAGCTCTGCCCTCCAGATGTCCCTACCATGTCGCTGGAGATGTTCCTGCTCAGGGCCCCAGCCGTGAAGTACGTGAAGGCGGCTGAGTTGGCAACAAACTCGGTGACAGCCATCAGCAGCATGGGCTCACGTGCCACGGGCAGTGCCTTGGGCATCAGTGTGGGCAGTGCCAAGGGCAGTGCCACGGGCAGAGACACAGGCAGAGACATGGGCAGTGCCACAGGCAGTGCTGAGCGTCTCTGCTGGTACATGCCCACCCTGAAGATCTCCCCCTGTGCAGACAGACAGATTGATGTGAGGGTCAGCCAGGCTTCCCCCTTCCCTGTTCCCAAATCTGCCCCAGGGATGCCCAGGGTGATATTACCTTGAGGGCAATGTCCCCGTGCTCCGCTGTGAAGGCCGGCGGTCCCAGCAGGGAGTAGTCGATGGCAGCAAAGGCATCCAGCTGGGTGGACACTGCAGGGATGGGGAGGAGTTGGGGGGAGTGGGACCACCAGCCCCCTCCCACAGCCCCAGCGCCGTCAGCACAGGGGTTGACAGGATCTAGTCCCACAGTGGGGCTGTCCATGGCCCTGGGACCACCCTGCCCATCCCTGGTCCTGGGGTCCTCTCACCCACCTTTCATGTGCTTCAGGGCAGCATCCAGTTTGTCAATGCCCCTCTGGAGCTCAAGGCAGAGCTGGAAGCAGAGCAGGGCATCAGTAAGCCCAGGAATGGGGGTGCCCAAGCCTCTTGCTGGGCTGAGGGGGGACAGGGACACCGACACCCCATGGCACAGGGGCTGAGCACCCACCTGCTTGTTTAGCTGCTGCCGTAGGGTTCTCTGGAGCAGCGGTGCCAGCAGGTTGTAGATCCAGCTGTGGGCAGAGTGGGGTGATCAGGTCACCCACCGACACCCCCCAGCTCACCACCCTGGCTGGGGCATCGGGAGTCCCCACATTCCAGGAACAGGACTGAGTGGGGGTCTTGGCATCACCTGTATCCACGGTGAAACTCCATGTGCAGGTCGGTGCCGTGGGTGTCACATCCAGCACTCCACACCGTGGGGCGGCCGCCGCCGTCGTCGCTCACCCCCAGCACCGCTGCCACGGCCAGGTCCCGCATGCGGAGCTCCACAGAGCCACTGTCCTGGCTGGGGACAGAGCAGGTGAGCACAGCAGTGACATCAAGCCACCCTGAGCCAGCCAGGTTCCCGTCCCTGTCCCCACGAGGACTCACATGGCGCCCAGCTGGGCTGCCCAGTCGGCGCTGAGCTGGATTTGGGCACGTTGCACCATCAGCCTCACCCCCACGTCCTCGGCAAAGTCCAGTGTGGAGTCGTTCATCTGCAGTTCATGGATGTGGATCCTGCATGACACGGGAACACTGGGCTGATGGCTGTGTCCGGGACAGGGATGGGGACAGGGACGAGGACAGGGACCCCAGGGGCAGCTCTTACCGTGGCACAGCGTAGGTGAGGTTCCCCAGGAGTGGGATGTTGTAGGATCCTGTCAGGTTCAGTTCATGCTCCTTCTGCAGCGTCGACTGGAACAGCTCCAGCCCAAAGCGGCGGCCTGGGGCAAAGTGGGAATTTATGGCGACACCAAGGAAGGGGCTGGGGTCCCCAGGGTGCCAGGAGGGCAAGAAGACAGGTCCAGGGTGGCTCCTCCATCCCTCATCCCTGTCAGGCTTGGCATCATTCCTGGAGGTGCCCACTGGTCCCCTCCATCCCCCCTCCTTACTGGTCCGGGTATCACCTCCCACTGGCCTCCCCCACCCCTGCCCAGTCAGGGGCACAGACCCACCAAACTCCAGCGAACTTCGGGTCAGCCAGGCCTTGATGCCAGGGTTGGTGACGGTGGCAGGGACACAGACAGGCAGCAGGAGCAGGAGGCAGAGCCACACGACACCTCGAGGACGGTGCTGGCACCTGAAGGCTGGAGCAGAGGACATGGCTTGGGGACACGCAGTTGGTGCAGAGACCCTCTCCCTCTGCACCAGCAAAGCCAAGACTTATATCAGGGACAGGGAGTCCCGGGTGACATCAGCACATGTGGGGACACCACAGCACTCCGGCCACTGAAAGCCCAGCCTTGCCCAACCCGTGACTCAAAGGGGAAGCCGGTTCTGCCGTTGTTCCCCACTCGCACCCACCGTGGGAGAGGAGGAACAGGGGGTCCCCCACTGCCTGCTGCTGACCCCCCACCACAGGGGTGCACAGGAGCCGGGGGAACCCACCAGGGCTCCCCACAGGGGCATGTGACTGGCATGTGGGGACACACAGAGACATGGCTGGGCCAGGGTCACCAGGGGCTTCGGCTGTGCCCTGCCTTGGGGCACAGGAGTGGGGACGCACGGTGAGCTGGTCCTGGGACAGGGGGGCTGCACTGGGACAAACAGGGCTAGACCCACTTGTGCTGGGGAGCAGCAGCTGTTCCCACTTTGGGAAGGGCTCTGGGAACGCTGTGTAGGGTCACCCAATCTTCAGTGGGGACCAGGGCGGCCGAGGTGCAGTGGCAGCCCCCAGGGAAGTGGTGGGAAGGTCAGGGCAGTCAGAGTAAGAGCAGAACTGTGCAATCCCCTCTGAAAGCCCCTGGCTGCAGGGAAGGAGCAGCCCATCAGTGGGACTATTCCCCAGCTGGAGTGAATCCTTCCAGCTGGACAGAGCCATGGGCTATGACTGACAGGGGTCCAGCTGCCCTCCTGGATCCAGCCTGGGGGACCCAGAAATCCCTCCGGGAGGGCCAGGACCTCATCCCAGCACCATAAGAGAATGTAGAGCCCATGGCCAACCTCACAAAAGAGACCACAACCCCCTCAATAACGTACCTTATGGAGGCCTTGAGAGCAGCTTCCACTTGCCTGAGACCCCCAGTGCCACCACCCACGGCTGCAGTGATGGCCATGGCCCCCAACAGCATCCCAAAGGCCAGCACTGACCCTGACCCCCATCCCTATGCCCACCACAGCCCCTGTACTCCCGGGTGCCCCCTCTCTGTGCCAACACTCACCATGGCAGGCGGGCAGGGTGTCCCACATCACGGGGACCGCAGGTCCCACCATGGGTCCCAGCTATGCCGTGTCCCCAGGACCGTACGTGGCAGCAAACAACAGGGACAGGCTCTGTCACCACTGTCCATCCAGGGTCCTGGTCAGACCAGAACGTCACCCTGTTCCCCAGTTCCTAATCCCTTCCGGGATGAATCAGGTCCCACGAAAACACCGAGGGACCGGTTGGGGCGCAGGTGCCCGCGGGCTGGGCACTCCCTGGGGCTCTCTGGTGCATCCTGGTGCTGCCGCATCCGGCATCCCGGCACGTGTGAGGCGGATCAGCCGCGCCGGCCCCGCTCCGAGCCTGGGCTGGCTCAGGCAGTCCCTTCCCCAGCTCCCGGTCGTGGCCACACCGTGTTGTCCCCGTGCCCTGAGGGGGAGGTGATGATCGGGGCTGCATCGCCAGGGCTCGGTCGTGGTGCACGCGGGGCTTGGGCAGAGGGTCAGGCAGAGACCTGGGGACACACAGAGCCACGCACGGAGCCCGCCTCGCCCCGGCTCCAGCTGGAGATTCCACGTCTGCCAGCAACGAACAGGTAAGGACGGCACTGGGGAACGAGGCACGGGACGAGCCCCAGCGCCTCCCGCACCGCCCCCGGGCCGAGAAGAGCCCCCGGCACCGGTTCTCCCTGTCCCGGCGTCCTCTGGACTCCTCCGGGAGTCCAGTCCAGGCCGTGCAGTGCGAGCGGACACCAGGAGAGGGACCCACCGCCCCGACAGTGCCGCGCTCTGGGACAGGGACGGAGCCGGGCGACAGAGGGGGCATCAGTGGGGGTGATAAAGAGGACCTGGAGGGTGATGGAGGGGAAACCAGTGGGGGTGACAGAGGGGACCCATCCGATGATGGCCAGGTTCATCCACAGGAACCCCAAAGCCCTGACACCCCGCTAAGTGTCCCCCACTGCTGTGTCACCACCAGGACAGGGCTGGTTGAGCCAGGCAGTGTCTGGGTTCCCCAAGTCACAACTCCAGGGGATCTGCTGGACTGGGGAACCACGAACGGGCATGGCCGGGCATGGCCACACATGGACACACTCAGAGCTGTGACTGTGAACATGCAAACACACACAAATGCTTGTGCAGAGGCTCACACATACACACACCTGTGCCCAGGGCCGATCAACCCCTTCCAGCACCAAACCCCTGGTTGCAGAATCCTGGGGGGTTTAAAGGGTCCCCCTAGAACAAGAGCCCCTCCAGGCACTCCAATTTTCTCCCACCAGGCTCGTAGGGATCTGGTACAGGAGGCTGTGTGGTCCTTGAGGTGTTTGTGAGTCATGGGGAAGCTCAGGCCAGTGCTGCTGCCAGGGGCATCCCCCAGCCCTCAGGGTTGCACAACCCCTGATGCAATTTCCTTGTCCCAAAAGGTTTCTGTCTCCACAGGCAGGGGTTGCACCAGGAAGAGCTGGAACCACTGGGGCAGTACCAGTGGGGCCACAGAGAGCAGCACTCCAGGACTTGTTCTCCACCCCCCCAGGACACTGCAATGCAAAGTATCCCCTACAGCACCACCACTGCACCCCAGTCCTGACACAGCAGCGACTGTAGGAGCCGTGGGAAGGCTGCTGGGTGCAGGTGGCCCACTGGGAAACGGAGTGAGGGAACCCCACAGGGCAAACCACTGCCCAGGGAGATGAGGACCCCCACACTCCCCATCTGGACACAGAGTCCCACACCTGGCTCCTAGCACTGTTCCCTGTGTCATCATCCCAGCAAGGTACCTGACCAGGGGAAGATGCATCCCAGTGCTGCTGCTTTATCCCACCACAGAAACTGGTGTGCAGTCTTTCCTCCTGTGTCTGCCCCCAATCCCCCATGTCTGAGCCCAAGGAGTGAAGGAGGGAGTGAGACATGGACCCCACGGGAGCCACTGGGAGAGGCTCTGTGGGCTCTGGGAAAGGCCAGCACACAGGGAATTAGGACCAACCCGTGAGAGACCCCCTCCCCAGCACCACCACAGGGGCCCAGTCCCTGTACCCCACAGCACACCCACCCAGCCCACACTGGTCTGCACAAGGCCCCCCAGTTTGATGGAGGCTCACATCCCCGTGGCTGAGCACCCCCAAACCCCAGGGGAGGGGTGTGAGGGGCAGGAAGAGGAGGCATGCGTGGTCATCAGGGCTTGTTTAATAACAAAACTCCAGCTATTGTAGAACAATATTCTCCAGCATCATTGTAATATACAATACGGGGAATGCTCTCAGCAATCTGAGAAGGAAGGATTACGGCCCGCGGCACCCCCTGCCCAGACTGCGGGGGGACCCCCAGGGCAGCGCTGCCGGGGGCCAGGGATGCAGGCGAGCCGTGGCACTCGGGGCCGGGATCCCGGGGATGTCGTCCGTGGCGGGTCCCAAGCGGTCTCAGCGGCAGAGGATCCGGTCAGCAGCGGGAATGCACGGAGCCTGCGGGAAAGGGGGACGAAGCTGCGGGTCAATACTTGCCAGAGGGGTTTCGGGGACGACGGGGGTGGAAGGGGGCAGGAAGAAAGGACATCCCCGGGAAGGAAAGCGGGCGGTGCGGATCGTGGGAAGGAGGGTCCGGGGGACGCCGGTGCTGCCCGGCGGGAGCGCGGGACCGGGTCGGTGCCGGAGGGTCCGCACTCACCTCAGGGGGG